AAAAAGAATAAAGTTCATGAATCCCTAATTTTTCAAGCTTGGTCTATCCAAGTTGTAATAATTTAGTTACAAAAAGAATAAAGTTCATGAATCCCTAATTTTTCAAGCTTGGTCTATCCAAGTTGTAATAATTTAGTTACAAAAAGAATAAAGTTCATGAATCCCTAATTTTTCAAGCTTGGTCTAACAAATTTATAATAATTTAGTGACAAAAAAAAATAAAGTTCATGAATCCATAATTTTTCAAGCTTGGTCTATCCAAGTTATAATAATTTAGTGACAAAAAGAATAAAGTTCACGAATCCCTAATTTTTCAAGCTTGATCTATACAAGTTATAATAATTTAGTGACAAAAAAGAATAAAGTTCATGACTATGAAGACCAGTCCAAATTCAATTTTAATGATTCTTTCAAACCTTACACTTCCAAAAAGCACTCAAGGCTACATTGAATTTTACAATCATTAATGATGTAAATCTATTTACGTTTGGTTTCTCATATAGTTAAAGCATTTTTTACTAATTTTGATGACAAAATATTAACTATAATTTTAATTAATTTAGTGTACTTCAATGAAATAGTGTTTAATGTGTACTATATAAAATATAATACAGCCTCACAACTGAAAAATAATGTAGGAAGCATTTTTATCACCAATGTGAAGAAAAAAAAACACTTGCGTTTCATTAATGTTGTTTAGGAGGTTATTATATGAAATGCAGTAAGTAATAAAAAAAACAAAAAAAAACATAACCAAATTGTTAGATATACACAACTCTTCATTTTAAGTTTAATATGAGAGTATTATTTAGTTTATACTGTGCAAACGTTAAAGTAAGTTATTGGAAGTTTGCTTATGTAAATGTTTATGAATCAATTGACATCACGTTACTTGAACCATCTGCATTTTTCTTTTTGCTTTAAATTAGTATTGTTACATCATTGTGTCTTATAGTTTGAACAGATCTAGACTGTATTTGTATGTTTAGCTATAAAGAGTGTATAGTGGTGATTTTTAAAGTATTATAATCACAGATTGTAGTGTAATAAACATAGAAAAGAAGTAAAATTCGTTTCTAAAGTAATTGAACACAGAGAGAGAGAGAGAGGGTAATACTTCAGTTTTTATTTTTTTCTTTATATTGTACTTACATAAATACTACTCATGTATTAATTAGTGGATGACACTTTTTTCCAAACAGTCAGCTGATTATAACACCTTCTGATAAAACTATTTATGTAAATGTATTTATGTAACCATTTTCGAATTGCCCATCTATATTGCTTTAGAAGCATTGACAAATGACAAACTTTATCATTGCATTTTGTTTGAAGCTCATTACCTTGAGTCAATAGTCTGTCTTATCTTTCACATTAATGTAAGTTTCTTTAAAGACTGAATGTTTTATCAGAACCTTATTTTTATCTAGCCTGAAGGATTTCCAAAAGAGGACACTTGGAGTACCTTTGCTTGTCCAAAAGGTAATTGTTAAACTTATACTTATGTCAAGGGATAACGTAACATTATTAGAAGTAACTGGGGTTGCATGTATGTTATATAGGAAAATTAATTAAAATTGATGAAAGCTAAAATAATTCTAACAGTAACAGAACTAATACATTCTAACTGATAATTTTTTTGTTTTATGACTACCTATGCATCTAGTTCGAATGGTATATTAAATTAGCTGTATTAACTACTGGAATATTTTTTAATTGTAATATATATAAAAAAAATTAAAGCTAAGAACCAATTTTTGTTATTATAGTGTTCTAAACAACCTTAACTGTTTTTCTATAAGAAAATGTTAAGAAAACATAAAGGAATGAGCCAACGTTTTTTTATTAGAATTTTGTTAATAGTTTCTGTGACTTCTGTCTTTTACTATAGGTTTCTAATGTTTTATCAGTCAAAGTTTGTTTTCTTTATGCAGTACCTATATCTCAACTTTTTAGTGATTTTAGATATATAGTTCCTATTGAGTTGCATTAAGAATTAAAATAAAAAAACATATATCTATAATTTGTACTGGCTTCATGAGAATACTATGAAAAGAATTAGTTTTTGTTTTATTCAAAATCAAAACTAATTAAGATAGGTGAAATTACCCATCTTGATTTATTGTAAAAAATGTGTGTGTATATTATATTTAGTTTAAAAATAAGTATTCTTAGGAAATGTTTATTTTTTTTTAATTATTTTTAAACTACTGAAGAGTTCCACATTCATACTGTTGTGCAAAAGCCATAGTTAAGTTCTCTATTGAGATTTTCTGCACACTTATTTTTTTGTAAATCTTCTGCTGTAAATTTTTCAAACAAAAGATTTGTATTATAGTATCTTGTAATTGTGTTTTGTTTTATGTATTACAGAACTTGTTTTTATCTTTTTTATTAGACCAAAATGGAAAGTTTACTGCTACTTCGGACCTTCTCTTACCTGAAGATTTAGTAGAGGGCTCTGCTAGAGGATATGTATCTATAACAGGTAACAAATAAAAACTGTGTATATATACACAAGATACATTTGTGTAGAATATACAAATTTCCTTTTTTTTTTCGTAAAATGGCAGCTATTGTCACTGTTTTCTGAATTCAAAACCTACTCAGTAAAACCATTTTAGCAATACAACAAAAGTTTTCTAATCTTTTTCTTCATATAAAAATAAAAAACAAACTTATTTACATGACTTATATTAGTTGTTTTTTGATTTGTTAATCTTTCAAAGTCAAACAATTTATAATGCCAGTTCTAACTAAGTTGTTATCCTCCTCCCACCTGAAGAGATAGCATCTAAGGCTGTGTAATTTGCTCCGCATATTTGAATCAATCTAGTAACAAATTAAAATTAACCCTCATTTCTCTCTCTTAGTATTTGTGCAATTACTGTGGTTAAATGCAATACATCAAAGTCTGTTTCTAATGTAACTGGGCCAAGATGGAATAGGTTGTATCTGCCTAAAACATCTTGTAAACACACACACAAGCACTTTTTTTCAAAACATACAAATTTTACTTGTTTGAAGATGCATTTAAAAAAAAAAAAAAGTGAAAAAAGTAATTTTATAAACTTACTAAAACTTCAAATATTTGCCGTGTTGAGACAGTGTAAGCAAAACAATATTAATTTTTTGCTTCCTGGTGAATATTTTTACAGATTCATATGTTTGTCTGCAGTGTTACTTGTAGTTCTACTTTATTTTTGGAAAACATCATAAAATAGGAATCCAAAATAGTTGGCAATAAATAATAAATTTAACATCAGAAGTTTATACAGTAACCAAAAGTTATTCATAAACAAATTTAAAGCCTATATATGTTAAACAAGATTTAGTTTTTATTATAAAAATAGCAGAGGTTTAGACAAGAATTATAAATTAGGAAGAAGGGGGAATGGAGATATCTTTAAACAACTTTTTAAACTTGCTAAAACAGAAACATTACCTCCACCAACAACTGTCTTGTTGCTGCATCACGTGCTGTGACTGTAGAATAATCTTGATTACCACAAATTGCCTCATTAGGCAGTGAAGCACCATACACAGTCAGATTTACTTGGCCAAGAGATCTTGGTTTAATCATCCAACGAGTTGTGTCACTTTTTCCTCCACATACACAACTGGTATAAGAATTGGTATCATTTTGCATTTCAAACTTATCACTTTGCTCCAATGACAATTTGATCTATGAAAGAAATATATTTGATTAAAATTAAAATTCCCAAACATTATATTTTTTTATTACCTGCATCATGTGGCCATCTCCTTCTCCTATGGATACCAAATACTGCCTGTTGCCATGCTACATACATAGGTTCAACTGTAGTGGGTAAATTTTTCTATTTCCATCACAGTGGAAAATGTTACTCGTTGGATCCCACTCTATGGTTAGTGGTGATGTCTACGTATTCTAACACATAAATCTGCACTGTACAGCCAATAGTCTATAACACTCACTTTTGAGATGGGTCTATTCCACAAGACCTCTAGAGACTTACATGTGGCATTTTGCTTCATAAAGTCCATCCCAGACTATCATGAGTAAAGCAGTAACAGGATAGCTGCCCATCCCTCTGATCCTGGTTGAATAAATTGAGACTGGTCTGTTTTTAAAACCAGTGTTTCATGGTCACTCATTGCACTTTCTCCAGTGTTTCAATAATAAATTCCAAATACCTCCAGTTTTTTGAGTAAACCAACTATGCTGCATTCCTGTTTCCTACAGTTGAATGGATATCATTTTCCCAGGTAGCCTCATGCTAGTTGTGTACTGGTTCTCCACATATGTGCCCTAGTTAGGATGTTAGAACAGAAGTCATTCTTCTTTCTGCTTCTTCATCCTAAAAATGGTAGGGACCCTCCTCCTAACATGGATCTGGTGATAATTACTTCATGCTGCCAGGTTTAGGACTGGAGTTGACCCACCAATCATTGTCTGGCATGTACATCCTTTCTGTCCAATTTAGCAATACATATATTCACAATTGGTGAAGAGTATATCTGATACATATGTGGTGTGTTCTCCCACAGGTGTGTCCCTCTACATTTAGGATTTGCATTCCATGACCTCTAATTTTAGTTTAAAGTAATAATATGTATATAGTGCAGGTAACCCACAGTGTAAGCTATAACAAACAATTTGTAGTATCAAATTACAACATCATTTTAATTTGTAAATAAAAGATAGGCTGTTACAAGCACGTAGCTAAGTCTGGAAGTGGGAGGGGGGAGTCTTATAGTTCCAAAGTGGATCTAATTTCACGTGTAACTTTTGTTCCCAGGGCCGAATAAAAATTTCTGAAATATGTAATGGTTCCTTTATTGCTACTGAAAATAAACATTTCTAGCAAATTTCTTCTAAGTATTTCTGCATGTATGCACAGTGTTACAAAAGCAATTATATAATGAAAGGCCATCATCAAAGAAAGGAAAAATAAATGTTAATAGGGGAGTGGGGAGGGTCCATTGGCACCTCCTGAACTCACCCTGGTTATAGAATTGGGCTGTAATACTACACCAATAGAACTATTACTGTTAGAAAAAAAAACTGCTCTTCAAAAACAATTTAATTACACCATTAAAATCCTGTGAATATTTGTTTGTGAGCATTAAACAAGTTGATGATACATAAGTGATTCAGAAATATTCATGGTTAGATTTGTAAATCAACAGTAGTGACTGAATTACTGATAGGTGAGTGTATTTGTAAACTATATGCATTTAAGTGGCACAGCTGACTTCCTCTATACTGTAGAGCCCAATTTTCACATCTCAATTTAGCATATTAGAGTGCAGGTGTGTCTAATCTTTGCTTGTGTTTGCTTTGATTTTTTTTAAACGATTTTTCGGAGCAACAACTTTTATTGTTTCCTGCTTATCATCTTTTATTCTCTACCCAATACATTTCACCTGTTATCATTTCAGGTTGGATTTGCCAACTTATTCAGTTATTTTATTCTTCCTTGTCACTTAATTCAAATCATATTTGGAAGATATTCTCACACCAGATCAGTCATCTCACCCTCTCCCTGGCTATTCACTTCTGTCACCCATTGGAGGTGATCATCCAAGCTGAAATTTGGACCACACCACACACCTTCATTAAAAAAATTCAGGTTATTTCAATTGTAATTTTTTTTGCATATAACAGTACTAGATTTAAATCTGATAGGATACTTTATGTCTCCTCACATAATAGCTTTTCTTGTTCAGTGCTGCCCTCTATATACTCTCACCTACCCTTACCTGTTTACACATGGTACAGCTGCATTGTAGCATGAAAATAAGCATGTGACAGCCCTCCATCAATAGGAGTATGACACACTCTCGTTTGAAGCGTGATATACCACATACAATCACAGAATGGGTTGGCAGTGCTATCTGTATCAGTGAAGAGACAGGCTTAGGAGTTTCAGAGGCAGCAACTGTTAAAGGATTCCAGCCATTCTTTGTCAGCTTTACCCTTCCATACTCTGTGATTCGAGGAGAGAAAGTTCCTATCATTGTGACAGTCTTCAATTACCTTAGTGAATGCTTACCAGTAAGAACTTAGATGTTGTACTTATTTAAATAATAAGAAAGTTATTTAATCATTAATGGTTGCAATAGGATTTTTGCATATGAATTTTTAGTATAATATCAAAAACTCTAACAGTGTTATAAATACAGTTTTTGAAAAATACTATATAACGATTGTTTCATTAGGAAGCTGGCCTTGTAGTGATCAGTGATATGGAACTGGAAACCCGTCCTTGTAAACCATCAGATTTTGGATATGTTGGAATACCTTGTACTTATTATGATGATACGAGATATGGTAAATTATTTTAAAAACTATTATTTAACCTTTTTCAGATTTTATTGTGGAAATATTATATTAAATTTTTAAGTGCAATGAAAGACTAAAGATGACAACAGATATTTTGTTGAGATTTTCATGCCAGAATACTCCTGAAAAAGGTGATTTTATATCAAGTCACTTTTAAATAATTAGCAGTTCAGTATTTGAGAAAGAGTTGAGCTTTGTCACACATTTTTTCTATGAATCATTTGCATTTCTTATTATATATTGAACTTTTAACTGGAAATTGAAAGTACATTGACTAAGTTGCAGATTTTATTCCAGGAGATTTTGCTGCTCATCGTATTGGAGGATTAGGAGCAGGAGGATTTAGTAGTAATATTGGTGGTGGCATAGGCATAAGAAAGAAAACTAATAAGCCAGTTGTAGAGATAAGGACTTACTTTCCAGAAACATGGCTCTGGGAACTACAGAATATTGGGTAAATATATATGTAACTATGGTTTACTCACATGTTGCCTAATTTCTTCACAGTTAATATTTCATTTGAATTATAATTTTTGTTAGATCTCTGAAGGCTTACAAAGGCAGTGTGAATAGAATTGTGTATTTCTGAATCAATTTATTGTAATTCTTATGTTTCCTAACTGTAGGATGCAGTAATGTAAAACTTGATATAAGTTAGATATTTTATATATTTAAACCTGTTTCGGCATTATGACTGACAGACTTGGATATTCTTAGGAAAGGGCAAGAGGGTAATTTGCCACCTTATATTTTGCAAAAAATTGCATTTATTATTATGTAAACTTAAAATATGTAGTTAACCTAAATAGTTTTAGTAATTTTTATTAAAACTGTAAATTTGTGTTTGCGTTTAAGCACACATAACACGTATTCTCTTAGTTTACATATTTTGGTGCCTTGATAATATTTTTGTGGGTGCCAATACTTAGAATATTTGATTAATAAAGCTATGAAGATAGTGGAAGCTGCTAACTGATTCTCCCTTAGGTCTTAACATTTCATTTGAACTATCATTTTTGTTAGATCTCTGAAACGATTACAAAGGGAATGTGAAGGGAATTGTGTATTTCTAAATCAATTTATTGTCATTTTTATGCTTCCTATCTGTATGATGCAGTAATATAAAAATCAATACAAGTGAGAAACTTTATATGTATGTATATATATATATATATATATTGTTACGACAGTGGAAGTCACGTGATGCTGGTAACATGCCATGAGATTCTAGAAGGATCTTGACTGTTCTTGGCAACTCTAGTCTTTTCTAGGCATCCTCTTTTATTGTATATAAGCCCAGCAAATAAAGCAGAGATAGATAGCAGATAGAGAGATATAGAGACAGATAACTGAGTCAAGCAAGCAGTAGTGACCATAAGTAAAGTGCATGAATCATTGTGAATTATAGCGTGTGTTTATGTTAAAGTTACTGAGGAAATCCTGTGTATTGCAAAGTTGTATTGAGAAAGAATAAACTAGTTTTATGTAAGAAAGGACTTGTATTGCTGAAGTTCCTCGGGAAGAATTTATACCAGAAATTAACAAATGACCAGAGACATAACATTAGGGCATTATATCTGAAGGAATATTAGATTAATAAGGTTATGCAGATAGTGGAAGCTGCTGACTGGTTCTCTCTTAGATCTACAATTTAAAGTTATAACTGAAATGACTATAACTGAAATTTTGGAAGTCTTTGAAAAGTTTGTTTAATTATCCCAAGTACTACATAAGATGCCATTCAGGCTGAAAGTTGCAGTACTAACTTTATGTTAATGATATTAGTTGATTTAATGGGCTATATTTCTGAAATGTATTTGTATTTAACCTAGAGAATTATATAATACACATTATAATTAATAAATTTTAATATCAAGTTGCACTGGTTACAGCCCAGAAACTTTTTTTTGACAGTCAGAGTAAATATTCAAACTAACTGTTTTGTTGAATTTCATTTTAATCCTTCCAATTTATTAGAGTCACTGGAGAACTAAAGTTATTGTAATGGACCTTTCCTATGAATCAGCACTGGTATATTAAAAAAAACAAAAAACTTTGTTTTTAACATATTTTTAGTTTCTTCGTCATTGTTTATATAAATTTCCTATTTAACCCCTAAAGAAGAGATGCTTATCTTCCAAAAGGTTCTCAAATATTAGTTCAATGGCTCTATACAGTTATGTTAATTATGCATTTCTTAAAAAAAGAGAGGAACTGAAAATATTTAAGTGAAATCAATAAAGCAGCAAGATGGTTCAAGTTGCATGGCAAATATTTATTAATAGTTTAACCATCAATTCCTATAGAAAAAAAAATAATTATCTTCCTTCTTTTTCCCTCTTTCTCTCTATATTTAGGTTTTATGAGAAATGTTTTTACGTTCTGTTCCAAGATATTTAAAACAACTTAAATTGCAGTTTAAATGCAACATGAAACTTTAAAAATATTAACAATAAACTTACATCAAAAGCAGTGATGGAATCTAAATAATTAGTTGAAGTAAAACCTGATGAAAAGGATCCCCCATGTTCACCTTCGGCTAGAGAAATAAAACAGTAAAACAATGAGAAATATTAATAGTATAAAAACACCACCTATCAAAAAGTTTAAAAAGCATTTTCTTTGCTCAAACAAATAACTAACCCAAAGACCGCATCTCTTATGATGATACACATATCCAAGGCTTGTCAGTAAAATAACAA